CCGCTCCCAAGAATCGACGACACATTGGACACATTAGCCGTGACGTCATGGTTCTCCACCCTCGACCTGCAGAGTGGGTACTGGCAAGTAGAGATCGCCGAGAAAGATAAGGAGAAAACAGCGTTTGGCGTAAATGGGGTCTCTGGCAGTTCAATGTCATGCCATTCGGACTCTGCAACGCCCCGGCTACATTTGAAAGGCTGATGGAGCGTGTGTTAAAAGGGCTGCAGTGGAAGTCGTGCCTCATATACCTGGATGACATCATAGTCATGGGACGCAACTTCGACGAACACATCAAGAACTTAAAGGATGTTCTACAGCAGCTTTCGTCTTCAGGCCTCAAGCTGAACCCAAAGAAGTGCAGTCTCTTCCAACGAGAGGTGAAGTTCATGGGGCACCACGTGACGCCGGAGGGCATATCGACTGATAAGGAGAAAATTCAAGCCGTCAGAGATTGGCCGCAGCCCCGAAATCTCCATGAGCTGCGAAGCTTTCTGGGTCTCTGCACATACTACCGTCGATTTGTCCAAAATTTTGCCAACATCGCCGCCTGTCTACACCGTTTGACGCAAAAAGGCCAGAGGTTTCAGTGGGGCAACGACCAGGAGGAGGCATTCAGAAAGCTCAAAGACATGCTATGCAGAGCCCCCATTTTGGCATACCCTATACCTGGCGGCAAGTTTGTCCTGGACACAGACGCAAGTGCGTGTGGCATCGGTGGCGTCCTTTCCCAGGAGATCGACGGACAGGAAAAAGTCATCGGGTACTACAGCCGGACATTGTCGAAACCTGAGAGGAATTACTGTGTGACGAGGAGAGAGCTGCTTGCTGTCCTTGAGTGCGTTAAACACTTCCACAAATACCTATATGGCCAGCATTTCCTGCTGAGGACCGACCACGCTGCTCTCCAATGGTTGCTGCAGTTTAAGAATTCGGAAGGTCAACTAGCCCGTTGGATCGAGAGGCTCCAGAGTTATGACTTCGGAATCGAGCACAGAAAAGGCGGAAAACACGGTAATGCTGATGCCCTGTCTCGTCGGCCATGCAAAGTAGAATGCAAGCACTGCTCAAAGGCTGAGAATAAAGAGAATATCGTTGATGTCCGACTATTGCAATTTGAGTCGGGTGAAGATTGGTCGACGGAACAACGAAGAGAACCCATTCTGGGCAAAGTAATTTCGGCCATAGAAACGGGCAAACGACCTAGTCGCAAAGAAATTACCTCCGAAAGCCCTCTTTTAAAATCCTATTGGGCCCAGTGGGACAGTCTACTTATAATAGATGGTTGCCTATATCGCAAATGAGAAAGTGAGGACGGTAAATCTCACCGGAACTTGATCGTCGTCCCAGACTCCAAAATAAAAGATGTCTTGTCGGACATGAAAAGGTAAAGCAGAGATTCTACTGGGTCGGCTGTCAAAAATCCATTGCCGACTGGATCGCCAATTGTGAAAGGTGCATAAGAGCTAAAGGTCCAACACGGAAGAGTCGAGGCTACATGCAGCAGTATAATTCAGGAGCCCCTTTTGAAAGAATCGCAATGGATGTAGCTGGACCGTTCCCAACAAGCGACTCTGGGAACCGGTATGTCTTAGTGGTCATGGATTACTTCAGTAAATGGCCAGAGGTTTATGCTATCCCAAATCAAGAAGCCAGGACAATTGTGGATGTGTTCAGCAGAAATTGGATTTGTCGCTATGGTGTTCCATCTGAGGTTCATTCCGATCAAGGGAGGAATTTTGAATCAGCGATCTTCAAGGAAATGTGTGACTCCTACTGAATCAAGAAAACCAGAACGACGCCCCTACGTCCACAATCAGATGGCATGGTGGAAAGATTCAATCGCACCCTGGAAGAACATCTACGGAAAGTGGTGGACAGTGGCCAACGAAACTGGGATGAGCATATTCCCAAGTTTTTACTGGCTTATAGATCGGCCACTTATGATTCCACATCCCGGACCCCAGCCAAAGTTCTGTTCGGAAATGAATTAAAGCTACCTGGCGATTTGATATTCGGTGCTACCCCAAACGACGATGTGAACCAAGATGAAGACAGTCAAAACTCTTTTAGTAAAGTCCACGATGCAGTCCGACATCGAATAAAAATGGTAAGCAACCGCATGAAGGCAAGGTACGATCGAGCGGCAAATACCGATGGGTTTCAAGAAGGGCAACTGGTACTATTGTTCAACCCACAACGAAAGAAAGGACTATGCCCCAAATTACAAACGCACTGGGAAGGACCCTACAAGATTGTCACGAAAATAAATGACGTCGTTTATCGCATCCAGAGGAGCGACAGTCCCAGGTCGAAGATGAAAGTTGTACATTTGGAGCGGCTGACCCCCTACGGAACGGGAACTGTGCCTATTCGGGACGAACAGGCTTAAGCGGGGGGCAATGTTACGAATATAACTTTAGATTTAAGTTAATTTAGATGAATTCCGTTAATTTAAGAATTTGAATTGTAACGTAAATTTCTACTACGCAGTTTATTTGAATAACTTCACAACAACAACTACTGTATAGATTTTTCTACATCCTTCCATTTCCTCTTTCATTTTCTATTTTGTTGCTGACGTACAATTCTTGTTAAACGTCATCATTGATGATCGCTTAATTCCTCTTTCTTTGTTACCCCCTCGCCTGTGTATGTGTTGTTGTTATTGTTCACTCAATGTAAGTTTGTATGTGTTGTTGTTATTGTTCACTCAATGTAAGTTTGTATGTGTTCGTTGCATTGGTAGATTGTTTGTAATCTAGGCGTTACCAGATCGTCTAGAAACTTCTGTAGCGACAGGCGAGGCTCATATAAATAGGGGAAATGGAAAGGCAGTTAGTCAGTTGTGAACCAGATCGCGAATTGAAACCGTCGAGTAAAGTAAAGTGCAAAGTAAAGTTGTGTGAATAAAATCATTGTAATAATCGTAATCCGAAAGAACCCGCGTTTTATTTGGTACGAGCTGTATTGGGAAATAAAACAACGTCTACACGGGATTAAGTAAAATCCAAGAACGTAACAATACGATAGAGATCGGATCATTCCTTTTAGTACCTCCCCCACAAAGGGTAAAAGTTTTTAATAACCAAACCGATGCTAAAATCAGAAATAAGCATCCGGTTTTCTTCATATTTCACACATTCCATTATTTCTACTAACACAAGATATGCTGTGAAGATGGGATATATCGGCTTACTCTTTCTGGTACCTCATTCACAAATGGTCAATATTTTGAATAAAATGCGAAATTTACATCCGATCCTATTCATACTTGGCATATCTCAATGTTTCTATCAGCACAAGATCTGTTATAAAGACGGTAGAGATCGAATCATTCCTTCTGCTACCTCTCCTAAATAGATTTTGAAAACACAACGCTCAAAGAAAGCGATGTAAGCACCCAACTCTGTTAAATTTTCACACACTAGATTTGCTGTGAAAAGGATATGTATCTGTCAACTCCTTCTGGTACTTCACGTACAAAGGGTCACAATTTTCAATGCTTTTATCTGCCATAAATTGCGAAAAAAGTTTGCGATTCTTTACAACTTGCTATATCTAAATATTTCTCTCAACAAGAAACCTGAGATGAATATGGGGTTTATGGTTTCGTATAAAACTAAATATAAGTATTCGATTTTCTTGTAATTTTGCCCATACCAATATTTTTATCTGTCGACTATATCTGAAACCTTACGCACATTTTAACATTTTCTAAAAGTTATGAAGGAAGTAACCAATATGGTCTAAACCTGCCACGTCGCAATATTTATATGATATTTATTAAGGTATAATGTGAAATAAATAATATTGGCCAATTCCTTCGGAACCTACTCCATGGAGAGTGAACACTTTGAATAATCCTAACAGAAGTCAGAATATATTTAAATAACCAAACATTGGCTGAAGGTATGCATCTGTCGGCAAAACCAGTTAATACTTTTTAACTGTATTGGAGGGTATATTAAGCTTGTCATTCCGTTTGTAACACCTCGAAATACACATTTTAGACCCCACAAAGTATATAGTCCGTCTGTCTGTCCGTCTGTGGAAATCACTCTAGCTTCCGAACGAATAGAAGTAGATTTATAAAATTTTACTCAAATGTATGTTATGTCAGCAGGACTTTTGGTATTGAAAATGGGCCATGTAGGTCCGTCTTTCTATATCCCCATATAACAATACCGATATTCGGTATTTTCATGATTTTTGCGACCTTATTTACCGGAATTGTTTCAAATTTGGTATTTGAAGGTCGAAATGGATACTGCAGCCTAAGACAGGAGATTGTCTGTGCAGGTCCACGTCTTCGTATAGGCCCCATACATCAGTACCTCCCTATATTCGGTATTTTGATGATTTTAGCGACATTATTACCGATTTTTTTAAGTTTCGTTGAATATTCTAATGGCTTATGACAAATGTTATCTGTGCAGGTGCATGTCGTCGTATAGACCCTAATATAATAGCTACATTCGGTATTTTTAAAAATTTAACATAATTTTTAACAGGTTTTATTGTTTTTGAGAATTGCCAAATTCGTTCCAAATGGTGGAGGGTATTCAAAGTTCGCTCCGGCCGAACTTACAGCTTTTTTTCTCGTTTTTTTTTTTAATTATTTGTCATTTCTGAGAAATTTTTCTACCCTTTGTCAAAGAAGAAGACTTTCCACCTTTAATGTGGGTCACAACAATAATAATGCTCTTCGATTGTGATTCTCTTCTCTCTGTTTGTCATGCTCTCTTTGAATAAATATTAAATTTGCTCTCAGTGTTCAATTCAGTCATGCATTCATTTAATCAGTAACACAATCACTGACAACAAACACTGTCACCAACACTAATCCATGTTTTATACAGTTATTTACAATTCCTCATGTGGAAATATTGGATGTGTTCTAGTCTTTCATTCATTCATTCAGTTCTCCCCTCATCCACTCCACACAACTACATCTAGCCGAACTACCCACTAATGCATATTTATTCGCATATTTACAGTTCCTCATGTGGAAATACTGGATGAACGTGGCTCCTCAACACCAGAGAAATATTACAAAGCCGGCAGTACCATTGAACTTCAGTGTGTCATATCGAAAATACCACAGCCAACATCGTACATAACATGGCGGCACAATACACGTCTGCTAAACTATGATACCAGTCGCGGTGGTATTAGGTGAGTATTTCATACCATGTTTTTTTGTTTCTGGTGCCTCTTTTTTGGGGGGGTTCGAAAACCGAAATCGACATTGCCGACATCCAATCCAATCCAACCAACTCCCAACCTCCATATTTTTGTGACAACATCTTGTGTGAAGTATTTTACATCAGCAATTCGTGCAAATGTCATGACACGGCACCCACATAAACACATTAGCCCCGATGTAGATCCTACTTAGCAAACACCAGCTAACACACACACACATACACACGCACACTGCTGGTGTTGCGAAAAGAGAACGCTTGCACAATGCCACAAAATCCAATTAAACAGACTTCCTAACACACACAACGATAAATATACAAAAATTCACACTCACACACACAAGCTTACAGGATGACTAAAATTTTAAATGGATTTTCTTAGCAAGTGGCAATGTGAGGGTATTCCCCGCCGGCACCTCAATTTTTACAGAACCGACCGGCTAAACAGTCAGCCCCACACAGAAGTGCCAAGAAATTATTAACTCAGCCTCTTTCTCTCGCAACCGCTCTAACGCTCACTGGCACTGACACTGACACTTAAAGGAGCAATAAATTTTTACTGGCATCCTGTCAAAATAGCAAATTAAGTTCTAAATTGAAAATAGCTTAATCTCAACAATAGCTACTCCAGCAGCAATAGCGGCAGCATCAGCAGTAGCGGCAACTACAAAATTAGTGACACAATCTCCTGACAAAACACCAAATGGTCTGAACATGCAAGAAAATGGCAGTTTCAATATTTTCGAATACAATCACACACACACGCACACATACTGACACATGAATTTATGTTGACATGTTTTATGCGTTTATGTTGCAGGGATGACACGGTATGAGGTTTCATACGACAGGTGTACAACCCATGGCAGTGGGATACAAATTCTTGTATATATGAATTGAATCGGAACAAGTAAAAAAGCTGTAAATTCGACCAAGCCGATCTTTCAATACGCCCCACCATTCGGAACGAATTTGGCAATTTTTAAAACAATAAAATAAGTTAAAAATTCTGTTAAAATCTTAAAAATACCAAATGTAGCCCTTATATTAGGGTCTATACGACGATATGGACCTGCATAGGCAACTTTTGTCATAAGCCATTAGAATATTCAAATGCAAAACTTGAAAAAAAAATCGGGGAATAATGTATCTAAAATCATCAAAATACCGAATATCGGGGCGTACCTATATATGGGAGCTATACGAAGACGTGGACCTACATGGCCCATTTTCTGTTTTATGCTGTAGTATTTATTACAGACTTCAAACACCAAATTTGAAACAATTCCGGTGAATAAAGACGCTTAAATAACCAAAATACCGAAAAAGGGAGGTACCGTTTTAAGGGGTCTATACGAAGACGTGAACCTGCATGAACAATTTTCTGTCATAGGCTGTAGTATTCATTACGAACTTCAAATACGAAATTTGAAACAATTCCGGTAATTAATGTCACTAAAATCATCAAAATACCGAATATCGGGGGGTACCGTTATATGGGAGCTATACGAAGACGAGGACCTACATGGGCCATTTTCTGTTTTATGCTGTAGTATTTATTACAAACTTCAAACACCAAATTTGAAACAATTCCGGTGAATAATGTCGCCTAAATCGCCAAAATACCTAAAAAAGGGAGGTACCGTTATATGGGGGCTATACCAAAATGTGGACCTACATGACCCATTTTCAATACCAAAAGTCCTGAAGACATAATACACATATGAGAAAAATTTCATCAACCTACTTCATTTCGTTCTGAAGCTAGAGTAATTTCCACAGACGGACGGACGGGCATCGCTAAATCGATATAGAACTTTATGCTGATCAAGAATACATATGCTTTGTGGGGGCTAAAATGTATATTTCGAGGTGTTACAAACGGAATGACAAAGTTAATATACCCTCCATACTATGGTGGAGGGTATAAAAATGGACAAAAATCCAAAATTGAAAACTATATATCGGGGCTTTATCCAAATCGGACACAGGCTACTACCTAGTCACAAATCGAGTTTTTTTTTCTAAATTTTGACAGAGATCGACTATATTTTAATTTGTGAGTGATTTTAAAATGGGAGCTTTATGGGTACTATATTCCAAATTCGAACCGAATTATGTCACAATATACACAGAACAATATGGAATTTGAAAGAGATCATACCACAGCTGTGCAAGTTACACGTTGAAACAATTTTCGGGTAATTTTCTGGAGTGTGGGAATTCCAAAAGAGTTTTGGGTTCTCATTGCAAACTTTAAAGAATTTTCTATTATTACTCAATACGATTATCTCCAGTTAGAATTTCTCAATCCAGAGAATATTACTTGGTGGGTATCGTGTGGGTACTATATGTACTACTATATGTGCCGTTATGTGGGAGTTAACATTTTTCTGTAAGATGGTTCTCTAAGCGAAGCACTTGCTTCAGGTGATCGACATTTTGGTACTTTTTAGTGCCAACTTTGCTTTACAAAATACTCCAGACACAATAGTCCAACGGATTGGTATCCGGAAAATGTTTTCTTATCGGAGACGGAGAAAACCAAAACCTCGGCCGAAATATCATGTTTAACCCAACTAAAATCAACCGGTCCCGCGATATGGAGCTTATGCCAAACCGAGGACCTTTTTATAAAAATTTTTAGAAAATAGATTTTTTATTCGAGGAGAACTCTAGGTGTCTAATTATAACTGTATTGATTGGAAGTTGTGGCCGATACCTTAAATATATCGAAAAAATACCACTATGTAGGGTTTACACCAAACAGAGAACCTCCATTGGAAATTTCAATTTTCTGCAGGAAGAGGCATCGAAAAGTTTGAAAATACTTGTATTCGAGTGAAGCCTCCCATTGTAGTGTGGAAAACAAAAAATGTTAAGGGTTTAAACGATAAATTTTGCAGCATATCCTATGTCGCAGTATTTGGTCTAGATATATGAGAATTTTAGTTGTACTGTAACTGCCGACTCTCTGATAGAATCTATCAAATAATACCTAACTCAACCTACAACATGCCATCACCAATTATGCTGCGGCATATGTGTCAATTGCCATACATGCACACACCTAGTCACACACAGACACACTCATGCCCCCATACCCACTCGCACACACCTATGCCGGCACTGGTTTTCCTCCAAAATTTATTAGATTGAAACGAAAACATGTTGAAAATTGCTAATACTACTACTAAACCCGATTCAAGTACGTTTCATGCTCTAATCGTGTTATTGAGTAAGAGAGTGATTGAGCGAATGTTGTCCTCTGTACGTGTGTGTGTGTGACATTAACATGAAACAACATTCAGCAGTGGATTCGAAAACGTTTGGCATGGGTTGTTTCTATTCGGGTGCGGGGAGTGGGTGGTGGATGGATATGTATGCAAATGATGTTCGTAAAAATTGAATGTTCAAAACAAATTTAGTTTCTACCGTTAAGTGGTTTGCAAAGTGTTAATGGGATTTCTCTTCTTTTGTTGTTGTTGTTGCTACTGCCTCTGTGCGCCGGAAAAACAAAACGTGGAGAGCGCTTGCATGAAAATTAGTATTTGAATATTTATATTGTACGCGCTTAAATCGCTAAGGCAATAAACGGAGTGCGATTAAGAATTGAAATAATAAAACTGTGCAAACGCCAAATAAAAAAATTATAAATAAATTCAAATAACTTTGCTGTGGCAACAATACGAATGTGCTCGTGTGAAGTTGTAGTTGTCATTCGCACACATTATCATAATCGCCATTCTATTGTTGATGTGGTGGTATGTGGGAAATAAGTTTCAAATGGAATAGTTATTTTGAATTTAAATGTGAAATTAGCAGCGACAAGACATCCTGTACTATGTAACGCGATGAAGGATATTAATTTTTTTCAATTTTCAGTCACTTTTATTTCTTTGTTTAGTCTGGATTAAAATATATAACCGCATAATGAAAGGCGAAGTGTGAAAACAGTGATATTTTAGTAAAAAACCAGAAAACTTACCAAAAATTTCCATACCGGTCCAAATATTCCATATGTGTCCCATATTATGGTATTGCTTTAATTTTTATACCCTTCACCACACATAGCCCTGTCCATCCGTCCATCTGTTGTAATCACGCAAAAGTCAAAACGATTTAAGATAGGAAGCTAAAAATTTACACAATCCAATTTTGTCTGCAGGCAGGGTTAAATTCGAAGGTGGGCTATATCGGTCCTCGATATCGTATAGCTCCCACGGTTTTAAATCACATTTTTCAATGGAATTATCAGAATTTCTACACAAGGAATTCTTTAGGAGTACTTTACTCCCTGAAAGAGATTTGTCCATATAGGTCCACGATATCGTATATTCTTTATATAACAATACCTCCTGATATTTGGCATTTTATGATGGTTTTAGGCACATTTTGCAATTGAATTATCTGAAAATCCACACAATGAGTTTCTTCTTCACGACTTCGCTATGTGTATGGTATTAGAGACATTATGGACCGGAATTGTTTCAAACTTCATATTTAAAGTTCGTAATGGGTACTACAGTCCATTACAAAAAAATGGCTTATGCAGGTCCATATATAGCTCCCATGTAACGAAACCTCCTGATATTTGGTATTTTGATGATTATGGAGACATTATTCACCGAAACGGTTTCGCTTGGCCGAAAGTGGTGAACTGCCGAATTTGGGTTTCTCCGCCTCCGATGAGAGAATATTTGTTGTCCAGAAGTTTGTAAACAAACATAATGATCGTGTTTAGTTGCCAAAGAGGTCAACTAAAAATGTGCACCTTCGGTTGGCCACCAGAACTCAAGCGCCGGCCATGGTGATGGTGTGGTCTGCCTTAACAGCCGATAGTCGCCCTTCTCTCGTATTAATCGACCGTGGCATGAGAATAAATGCCGAATATTATCGCTAAAATATTCTGGAGGGTATATTAAATCCTTGGGCACGCAAACATTTCCAACAGGACTCAGCACCATTGCA